GGGGGGGGGGGGGGGGGGGCGCTGCAGGCTCGGGCGCGGGCCGGGGGGCAAACAAAAATCCGCAGCCACCTTTCGCGATTCGTGGCAACACCGGGGGACTCCAGCAGGGGCGATCAGGGTGCCTAGGCTGCCTGGCGCTCGGCGTCTTGCAGCAGCGCCCCGAGATCCGCGACTATCCGCGTGGCGGCGTCCAGGCGCTTGACAAGGCCAGCCTGTTGGTCTTGGAGAACATCGCGCTGGTGCCGCAGCTCGGTGGCCTGCTCTTCGGCCTCCGTGAGCCGCTTGGTCAAGGCCTCGGCCTCCTCGCGCCCGGCCCGACGGTCTGCCAGTGCCTGAATGACATCCTTCTTGGAGCCGGATCCCCGGAAGCCCGCCAGAAAGTCCTCCATCGCCTTGAGCTCGGCCTCGCGGGCCCGGAGCGAGCGCTCCAAATGGTCGATCGTCTGGCTCATATCGTGCGTCAAGTCGGTCGAGGAGGGCGCGGGCGCCAGCGCGGCCGGCGCGCCGCCGCGGGACTCCGTGTCAGCCGTTTCAAGCAAAAGAGTTTGCAGGCTGGAAACCCGTTGTTGCACATTGGCCAGGATTTCTGGGGCCATCGGGGTGTCGCCAAGAGGGGGGGGGGCAAGCATCCGAGTCAGTCGATGGTCCGTCTTGGGGCGAGGTTTGCCAGCGACACCCATTTCCGCCGGCTGAGGCAGGTGGAATGCCTCCTCGCGTGCGCGATCCAAGTGGAGCGGCTACTCGCCAGGCGGGAAGCCGCCAGTCCGCTTCCCTCGTCCCCCCCTGCCCCCCCCCCCGCCACGCCTCAAGCAGTCCCGGCGTACCGCGATACATGTCCGCCACATCGCCACAACAGCGAGCCGGCGAGGTGGCCGGGAGCCCGGGCTCCGGGCGCAGCCCCGGTGAGCCACTTGGAGTTTCGCCCTCCGTCGTGGCCCCGCCATCGTCGGTGTCCCGCGCAGCTGCGCCGGCCTCGAGCGCCCGGGTCTCCTCCTGTGCGACGGCCTGGCCGTCTGGCTCCCGGTCCGGGAAGTCAATGATGTCGACGTCGTCGAGATCATCGCTCGAGGTGCCGGAGGAGTCGTCTTCCGGTGCCATGTCAGCGGCCTGCTCGGAGGGTGCTTCGTCTGTTCCATCGGCAATCAGATCGCAGTCATTCTCACCAACCGGTACCACGACCATGAAGTCGTCGGCCATCCTTTGAAATGCGGTGGGTACTTCGCAAGGGCACGAGGGGGGCGGAGTTCGACGGGGCGCGAGAAAGGAGAAAATAAAAATGGAAGGCTGGGTGCAGTGCGCCCAGTGTAGCGTGCACAGGCAGGGGAAAGCGCGCGCGCGCAGGGGGGGGGGGGGGGGTGAAGCGAGGAGAGGGATGCCCCGGGCCCGAGGATCGGGCCCCAGGGCGGCCGATCCTTTTCACGCTTTCATCGCCCACAATCACATCATCGAGAGCGCCCAGCCACGGGGGATCTTGTCTCCTGCCCCCGGGGCCCGGGCAAAGGCAAGAGCACCCGGGACAAGATGGGCGCGTGTGCGTGCCCAACTTAAGTGGCGGGGGGGGGGGG